AAAAAAAAAAAAAAAAAAAAAAAAAAAAAAAAAAAAAAAAAAAAAAAAAAAAGCACAAAGCAGTTTCTCTCTTTACCCAAATCCACTTAAAATTAGGACAAATACAATGAAAACTGGAAGGGGCAAAGAACTTGGACTCTGGAGTCACACAGACTTGGGTTCAGTTTCAGCTCAGCTACTTACTAACAAGACTTTTGAACTAAGGCAGATCATCTAAGCCCTCTAAGCTCCTCATCTGTAAAACAGAAATAACACCTACCCCTCAGGTTAGATATGAAGGAGTTCAAAACCAGCCTGGCCATCATGTTGAAACCACGTCGCTACTAAAAAGTGGAGTGAAGTGCCTGGCTTAATCATGATGATTTTCATTGTTATTTTAAATATTTGTTTATTTACTTTTATACTTTTTTTATTTTTTGAGAAAGCATCTCACTCTATCACCCAGGCTGGAGTATAGTGGCACAATCTTGGCTCAGTGCAGCCTTGACCTCCAAGACTCAGGTGATCCTCCCACCTCAGTCTCCTAAGTAGCCAGGAGTATAGGCACTCACCACCACTCCTGGCTATTTTTTATATTTTTAGTAGAGATGGGGTTTTACCATATTGCCGAGGCTGGTCTCAAATTCCTGGCCTCCCAGGAATCCTCAAGTGGCCTCCCAAAGTGCTGGGATTACAGGTGTGAGTCACTGCGCCCAGCCTATATTTTTATTTTTTAAAGATACAAATTGGGCTGGGGGCTGTGGCTCATGCCTGTAATCCTAGTGCTTTAAGAGGGAGACGTGGGAGGATCTCATGAACACAGGAGTTCAAGACCAGCCTGAGTAGTAAAGTGAGACCTTGTCTCTATAAAACAATAAATTTTTTTTTTTAATTAGTCAGGCGCGGTGGTAGTGGGCATATGTAGTCTCAGTTACACAGGAGGCTGAGGTGGGAGGATCGCTTGAGCCAGGGAGAGCCATGATTGCACCACTGCAGTCTGGCCTGGGCAACACAACAAGACTCTGTCTCTAAAAACAAACAGGCTGGGTGCAGTGGCTCATGCCTGTAATCCCAGCACTTTGGGAGACAGAGGCAGGAAGATCACGAGATCACGAGTTCGAGACCAACCTGATCAACATGGTGAAACCTCATTTCTACTAAAAATACAAAAATTAGCTGGGAGTGGTGGCAGGTACCTGTAACTCCAGCTACTTGGGAGGCTGAGGCAGGAGAATCATTTGAACCCGGGGAGGTGGAGGTTGCAGTGAGCCGAGATCATGCCATTGTATTCCAGCCTGGGTGACAGAGTGAGGAGAGACTCCGTCTCAAAACAAACAGGCCAGGAATGGTGGCTCATGCCTGTAATCCTAGCACTTTGGGAGGCCAAGGCAGGTGGATCACTTGAGGTCAGGAGTTTGAAACCAGCCAGGCCAACATGGTGAAACCCTGTCTCTACTAAAAATACAAAAAAAGTAATTAGCCAGGCATGGTGGTAGGCGCCTATGATTTCAGCTACTCTGGAGGCTGAAGCAGGAGAATTGCTTGAACCCGGGAAGTGGAGGCTGCAGTGAGCCAAGATCATGCCACTGCACTCCAGCCCTGGTGACAGAGAGAGACAGACTCCGTCTCAAACAAAACTAAACAAAACAAAAATAATAATACGTGAGTTGAGAATCATCGGCACGCCCGCCTCTGGGTATAAGCTGCTAGCTCACCCGGACATACCTGAATGCCCCTCTCCCACCGCCCGGTGTATTCTTGGTTGGCAGTCAGCCACCTCATCCTACCCTCCCCGTGGCGCACGTTGTCTTCCCACTGGCCTTCGTATATATTTCCAGATTTATAACTAGGATGAATGAAACCAAAGAAAAGCAATCAGTTGCTGCCTACATGACATTCACCTTTAAGACTTTCTTTTAAACATTCCCCTTGAACTCCTTTGAAGAAATCCAACCCTTGCACCTATACAATCTTCTCAGTATTTAAATTCAGGCCAGGCATGGTGGCTCATGCCTGTAATCCCAACACTTTGGGAGGCCGAAAAGGGTGGATCACCTGAAGTCAGGAGTTTGCGACTAGCCTGACCAACATGGAGAAACCCCATCTCTACTAAAAATACAAAATTAGCTGGGTGTTGTGGCATGTGCCTGTAATCCAAGCCACTCGGGAGGCTGTGGCAGGACAATTATTTGAACCCAGGAGGTGGACTCGGGAGGCTGAGGCAGGACAATCACTTGAACCCAGGATGCGGATGTTGTGGTGAGCCGAGATCGCGCCACTGCACTCCAGCCTGGGTAACAAAAGCGAAACTCCGTCTCAAAAAAAAAAAAAGGAAAGAAAGAAAAGAAAATTAGCAGGGTTAATGAGGAACATTATGTGATGATCAAAAGAGCCCATGCACCAATATATAATATTCCTAAATGTGTATGCACCTAACAGCAAAGCTTCAAATAGATGAAGCAAAAACTGATACATCTAGAAGTAGAAATAGACAAATCTGCAATTATACTTGGACATTTCCATTGCTTTACATAATTTCAATGGCTTTACATAATTATTTAAAATGTGATCTTCCCAGGTCTATACTCACCATGCCGTGTTTCTTATTGAAAACCCATTCTCCATCATACATAGCTCCACTGGCATAATAAAATTTGCCATGTCCATGACGATATCCATTCACAAACTCTCCTATGTATTCGTTTCTCAAAGGATACTGGGAATTGGGGATTCTCTTTAGAAACCACGTGTGTGTTCCAAAGCCATTCTGAAAAGAAAGCAAACTGCCATCAGAAATGAACAAAGCAGGCTGGGCGCGGTGGCTCACTCCTGTAATTCCAGCATTTTGAGAAGTCAAGGTGGTGGGTGGATCACCTGAAGTCAGGAGTTCGAGACCAGCCTAACCAACATGGTGAAACCCCGTCTCGACTAAACATACAAAAATTAGCTGGGTGTGGTGGCGCATGCCTGTAATCCCAGCTAATTTTTGTATTTAAAAAATACAAAATGCTAAGGCAGAAGAATCGCTTGAACCCAGGAAGCAGAGGTTGCAGTGAGCCGAGACTGTGCCATTGCACTCCAGCCTGGGCAACAAGAGCAAAACTCCAAAAAAAAAAAAAAAAAAAAAAAAAAAAAAAAAAAAAAAAAAAAAAAAAAAAAAAAAAAAAAAAAAAAAAAAAAAAAAAAAAAAAAAAAAA